GAACGGCTATCTTTAGGCCTTCTCTTAGCCACCTCACACAAACTTGCCTTTTTATCGTAACCCCTGGCACTGAGTGGAGCCCGGGGGAGGGGGGACGAGAAACAGAGACCCAAGGTTTGGGAAGGGAGGCACAAGGCGGAGGTGGGGGGGCTTGTTCTTGAGCGTAAACCCGGGCACACTTCCAGGGTGGATTAGTGCAAGAGGAGAGATGCACTCTGAGCTCGGATGGGGATTGGGGGGCAGGGGGGCAGGCTGCATCCTGCTACTGGGGAGAGATCAGAGATGCTCCTTGGGGGGGGGCGGGTGCACAATGTGGGGAGGGGAGTGAATCCACAGAGGCCCATGATAAGCGCACAGAATCAGACAATCTTGCTGACCTACTTATCTATGTCTTTCCCTAAGACTTTAGTTCAAGAAGTATTAGGGCTAAACACTCACCCCTTATTCCTTTTTCCTGGCCTCTATTCCTCACTTCCTGGGCTGGCACTTGAAGCTTCCACGGATGTCTTCTCAACTGTGGGCTTATGAATGGACAGCCTTCCACTTCTTGCTTTTCAAAGACTTGTTTATGTGGGGCAAAACATGAGGAAGTGGACATCTTTTCCACTAGAGGGGGCTGGTGGATGACAAACCAAAAGAGTACTATGCAAACATAATTGGAAGAGCTCTCTCATAATTTAAACAACACTGCTAAATACCAAAAGAGCCAATGGGGGCAGTGTGGAGCGGTACACGGGTGCTTATGAAAACTTCCTCAGACCACAGGTGGAGCTGATAGCTGAGTTTGGTTCCAACGTGTCAGCCACACTCAAAGCCCATCCTGCCCTTTGACTCACTTCACTGGCCATGGTGGAGTCACAGCTGCTTACTCTACAATCGCTCAGTAGATCCCAACCATCAGCTCAGACCCTGGTAAGAGGAGTCTCCTGTGCACCAGGATATTAAGCTGATCCTTCGCAGCCCACCCATTTCCCGGACACCCAGTTAAAACCTAGAAATAACAGCAACTGCTGCGTAGGTAACTGGATGAATGGACCAGAAGGTGGAGCTCAAGGAAAGAGAAGCAGCAGGACAGAAAGCCCTGCATCTGTGGTCAGATCAAAACCACCCCGGGCGGCAGTGCTGCAACGCAGTATTACTGCCCCCTTGTCTTAAACCGGGCCAGAGGCTTGCCACTGATTCCCACGATCCCTGATGCCCCCAGGAAAGGCAGATCTCTCCAGGCACCGTAACCTCTCAGATAACATTTTGACCCCAGCAGGACTGGGTGGACAGACCTGGCTGACTAGCTGTAGTCCTCAGTCAGGTTATTGTCCCTTTCTGGAGCTTCCTCATCGCTATGAAAGTGTCCAGCCTCAAAGGGCTTTAGTGTTTGGCACTGAGTGGAACCCAGGAGTCTGACTCCACTGAAGACTTACTCAAGATCCTGGGTACATCACAGACAAACTTCTAAAATAGTTTCCTCTTCTAAATAAGAGAAGAAACAGAATGAAACTTGAAGTGGTGAAGAGTCTTACTTTAAAAGCCAAAGAATAAGAATTGTTTTTGCCCAGAGAAATATTTAGGACCCCTATATTCATGTAGAACTTTTACAAACAGACTGATTCTTTCAATAGTTTGTTTCACATCTGGGGCTAGAAACCCCAGCAGGACAGTTGACCTAGAGGTCTCAGGGATCCTACTTTGGGGTAACTAGTGTCGCAGAACAGATAGTGGAGGTATACTGTAGCTTATAAGGGACCTGGTATTGTTGGCATATAATTGTGAATAGTGTTCTTGTGGTTTGGGACCTAATCAAACTTATAAGCTTTTGCACAGCAAAGGAAACCATAAACAAAACAAAAAGACAACTTATGGACTGAGAGAAAATACTTGCAAATGATGAAACTGACAAGGGCTTAAGTTCCAAAATACACAAACAGCTCATACAATTAAATAACAACAACAAAAAACAGCCCAACTGGAAAAATAGGCAGAAGACCTAAACAGACATTTCTCCAAAGAAGATATACATGTGGCCAATAGATACATGAAAAGATACTCAACATCATTATTAGAGAAATATAAATCAAAACTACAAAGAGGTACCACCTCACACTGGTCAGAATGGTCATCATTAACAAGTATACAAATAATAAATGTGGAAGAGGGTATGGAGAAAAGGGAACCCTCCTACACTGTTGGTGGGAATGTAAATTGGTACAGCCACTATGGAAGATATTATGCAAGTTCTTCAAAAAATCTGGAAATAAGAGTAGCCATATGATCTAGCAATCCCACTCCTGGGCAATGGCCAGACAAAACTGTAACTCCAAAAGATACATGCACCCCTAAGTTCATAGCAGCACTATTTACAGTAGCCAAGACATGGAAACGACCTAAATGTCCATCAACAGATCAACGGATAAAGAAGGTGTGCTATGTGTATGTGTGTGTGTATGTATATATCTCACACGGAATATATGGTAATATTACTCAGCCATAAGAAAAGAACAAAATAATGTCATTTGCAGCAACACAGATGGACCCAGAAATTAAATGAAGTCAGAAAGACAAATACAATATATCATTTATATGTGGAGTCTAAAGTACAACACAAATGAATATACTTATGAAACAGGAAAAAAGACTCACAGACGTAGAGAAGAGACTTGTGTCTGACAAAGGGAAGGGAAGGAGGGGGAAGGAACAACTGGGAGTTTGGAATTAAGGTGCAAACAATTATATATAGGATGGATAAACAATAAGGTTCTATGGCATAGCACAGGGAACTAAAGTCAATATCCTGTGATAAACCATAATGGGAAAGAATATGAAAAAGAATATATACATATATATATATATGTGTGTGTGTGTGTATAACTGAATCACTTTGCTGCACAGCAGAAATTAACACAAATAGTAAATCAACTATACTTTAAAAAAATTTTAAGAAGAAATGCATTCCTTCTGAATCTCAATCCAGTACAAATACAAAGGTGATGGCAAAGACACTTGAGCCAACCACTTCCTCTATTTTGGTGTTGCTGAGAGAAAATTCTATATGCATTTGTTCAAGTATTAACAGAGAGCATGACACAACTACTCAGAGCATCCCACAGTGCAGGAGGGGATACTGAGGATATAAACAGATATGAGAGTTTATAGTGTCATTAGATCAGACTTGTTCTTTTGTTTAAAAATGTAACTGCGCTCATTTGAATATTATAGCTGCATTTAAAGACAGTGTTGTGATGCAAGAAAAGCTACTGAGGCACAAAAAGTTAACTCAAAACTGAAGTATTAATAGGAGTAGCTTTTTGAGAATCACATGAAAAATATTCTGGAGGCTGTCTGGAAAATGGGAAAAGAAAAAATGAAGCAATATGAACATCGTCAAGTATTTAGGGCATGTTCTCAAAACTGGTGCACATACGCCTCCATATAAGTCATGTTTCATCATTTACACAGAGAACAGTCATCACCATCATGTACATACAGACCGTTAAAGGATTCAGGTTAACAGGGAAACTCAGCTTCCCTGGCTTACACAATCATGGTCAGTATCAGCCAAACAGCCAGGAAATTTAGCCTCAGTCTGAAGACTCAGAGTGCAGAAATCATTAATGCTGAAAATCAAGCTATGGGAATGGGGGTAAAAAAACAGACCCTCAGCCATCACCTACTGCTACTAGGTATTTCCCGAAGCCCCAGAGCAGGTGAAGGAGCTGGAGCCTATCTTAGCGGAGCTCTGAAACCGACTACTCAAGCTTCCCCCAGATGCCCTGCCATCCTGGGGCTGGAGCCTGCTCTGCAGTGGCTGAGAGAGTGGAGAAGTTCAAGAAACTTGCCACTTCACACCAGGTCCTCTTAATCAGCAAGTAACTCCTCCTCAGACGGTAAAGAATCTGCCTGCAGTGCAGGAGACCCGGGTTCGATCCCTGGGTTGGGAAGATCCCCTGGAGAAGGAAATGGCAACCCACTCCAGTATCCTTGCCTGGAGAATCCTATGGACAGAGGATCCTGGTGGGCTATGGTCCATGGGGTCGCAAAGAGTCGGACACGACTGAGCGACTAACACGGCTGCTACTGTTCCTCCTCAGAGAAGCACCTTCTCCCTTCTCAGGCACCACTGCGCCACCTCTTCCAGCCTCCAGGGGGCACTAGAACAGCGCTAGGACAGCCTGTCACCACCTCAGGCAGACAGACAGCAGCGAGGCTTCCCTGGCAGGGGGCTGCTTTCCGTGGCAGGCGCTCACAGCGACAGGGCTTCTCTTCCCTTCCCATCCTGTGCTGACCCTCTGCGCAGGCAACTGTTCTACGGTCCCCCAGAGGTGCCTACCTGAGACATCCAGGAAATCAGAGGACACAGATCAATCAAAAGCAGGGTTTATTTTTTTTTTTTTTACCAAACTCCCCAATCCATGTTCCAGCCAATGGATGAAGGGTAAATTACACCCCACATAGACTCTTAGTAAAAACAATTTTAACTTTCTACAGAAAAAAAAAAAAGTTTGTTTTTTTTTCAAATAAAGTTCCTAGGCATTTGGAAACAGATGAAAAACTTTCACATGTTGAATGTTCTGTGCTTTCTTCTTCAATGTATTCAAATGCTCCCTCCCTGCTGCCTCTTCTGTGCGGAGGCCCCTTCTGCAGCTGCACCGACAGTCCTAGTTCCATATCATTGTATTGTCTGATAACCTAGAAACCTGGTATGGTTTCAATTTATAACACCACCCCCCTCCCCAAACAGCTGAAAAGATCTCAGTCAAACTCCTCAAACCTTCTCTGAGTGCCTACTATTTGCTTGGCATTGGCTAGGTGCTAGGCAGTGATCCTGCTGGTTCTGAGAAAGGTCAATGGTGCTACAGGGAAGATTTTTCCTCCCAAGCCACTGGGGATTGAGAGAACCAATTTCTCCTCTGGTTCTACCACTTGGAACAGGTACAGGGCTCAGGTCCCGGGAAGAGAAGCTGTGTCTCTTCTGACAGGTGCTGCCATGGAAGAACTGAGAGCAGTTTCTAAACAGTTGTGGAATTTACTCCACAATCCACATAGTGATGTGTCTCCAAGGAGCTCTGGGTCATGTGGCCAATGTAGGAAATCTTCACCGAAGTTCTAGTGAAAATAAAACTGAGAAGAATTAATTCTGTTTCTGAGATAAATTAAGTAAGAGAGATTGCCTAAATAAATTCTTGCAAGCTCAGGCGATAACACACAGGTCTCAGATGCATGTCTTCATGGTTACACAACCAGGAAGTCAGAGGATCTTTTCATATCCCCAGAGACACTCTGCCCTGAGATGACCTTCTAAATAAGTGGTTCTCAGCTGGGGACATTTTTACCCCACTGGGAACTTCTGGCAGTGTCTAGACATTTGGGGTTGTTACAGCTGAGCGGGGGAGGAGGTAAGCCTCTAGCAGGTAACGGCCAGGGATGCTGTAAAACATCCTATAATGCACGGAACAGCCCCTCACAACAAAGAACTGTCTGGCCCAAAATGTCAACAGTGCCAAGGCTAAAAAACCCTACTCTAAATCCTCATATTTCAATGTCCGCAGCAGACCCTTGTCACTTGCAAATTTAATTGTTATGGTTCTAAAAATAACCCTACAGGTCCATGACATGTGGTAATTTGTGTGGTTAGAGAGTAAATCTGGCTGGATGCCCTGGGCTTACACCTTAAGAAAGCTTTTCTCCTCTTTACTTGTCCCATGAGGATTCTAAAGCGATCACACAACTTGACCCCATTTTATGGAGAAAATTATCTAACTGCTTCCTGTGAGTCTGGTGACACTTGGACACTGCATCTAAAAGACAGCAGGGCTCTGCCGTGACTGAGCCTACAGTGCTTCCAGCATAACCCCTTTGCCTGTGGGTCCCACAGGTTCTCAAGCAAAGCTGGCCCGCTCACGTGGCCTGACAGTCCAGGCCCTGGGCACAAGGAAATGAGCAACATACCGAATGAAGACCACTATGTTGTGCACTCCGATATAGGGTAATGTGCAGAAGAAGCTGTCAAACAACAAACACAGAAATGGTCAGTTTAAGTGTTTTAATTTGAGGGGAAAAAAAGGAGAATGAGCAGGAATGCTGAGTTACCCTGTCAAACTGAGGCGCAGCCAGCCCCATCTGGGCGCTTCCCCTGCCCCACACCCACCCTCCTGGCCTAAGCACTGTCCTGGCTCACTGGTTCTGGGTCCCCACAGTGTTCTTCCATCCTCCCCCATCACTATCTCCTTGGGTTTTTTTTTTTTAAATGCCCATCACAAATGCTGGAGTTTGGAAATGTTTCTAGTGGCCTAATATTCTCTTTTCAGAAATCTGAGCACTTGAGTCACATATCAAATACCACACCCTCCAAAAAAATTCTCAAGATAGTGAATTTAGAGGCTAAAAGGCTGAAACTTTAGGCAGGACCAGCTCCCCTCAATTGAGCTCAACTCTGAACCCCTTTCATCCCATAAAACACACACATATAGAGAACACTGTTCTTACTACACATAGGAATATGGTCCTCCCATCTCAGCCTTTGCAGTAAAATTCACCTGAAAACAAGACACCAGAGTCAGTCCGTGGCCAGGCAAGCTTGACACAGAACAGTTCTATTACTAGCAACCCAAGAACCTGAGAGCATTCTTTTATCACACATAAAATATTTCCCCCAGATTGTCACTAATCCTAAGATCATGCGCCTCTAACAAAACATCCCACCTCTTCCCTTTTGAGAGGTCAATGGGCCCCAGATTATCATAAGGCCTCCTCTTGATTGTTGGTGAATTGTTTTCTCCTACAAATTCTTGTTTCTGTAACACTTAATTCTTAGCTGATTTTTTTCCCTAATTTTTCATAATTATAGAGCTTGTCAGATCTTCCTCATCAACTAGTTCCTACCAGTAAAAATGAGGAGAGGGAGAGGAAAGGAATGAGGCAACAGCATTTCACAGCCAGGCCAGGCTCCTAAAACCAGGCATACCAGGTGCTCGCTCCGAGGTGGAATGTGGGAGATGTTAGTTGTCATGTACGATCCAACCACGGTGTTCATGTACTGAACCTCGCTGGACAGGCTGGTCACTGCCACGGAGTAGAAGTTGGAGTTTCTAATTTTCAGGGTGGCCTGCATCAGTGCCAGTGAGGAAACACGTTAAGTGTCCTGGGTACAAGACTTGCAGGTGCACAACCCAGGAAGGGCAGCCTTAATCTTACCGTGATAGCGAGGATGACAAGGGACCTCTGCTCATTAAATGTGACTTTTACCACTTTGATGCCATCATCATCCACGAGGACTGAATGTGGAAACAGGAAGAAGACCACCAAACCGGACGCCAGGAGGCAGAGCAGGATAGACAGGAGGACATACTGCTTACTGCAAGTGACAAAGTTTACACAACCAACTCAGGAAGTCAGATATCAAGGGCCAATGAGTCAAGATAAAATACAAAACCAGGAATGAGGAGGGGAGGGACAAGAAAGTGCACAGGGCCAGGAATCACAAACCAGGCAAGAACGGGTAGAGCGGGAGAAGGCTTTCAAAGCCCTCTGAATGCTGTCTGCAATCTGGGAAAAGAAGCTGATGAGAGGAACTGTGTGGACACAAACATCTCTTCCTCTACCAGAACACCCCCTTCTCCAATTCCTTCCAGTTCAGCTCCTTCACTTGAGTCTCGGCCCTCAGAATGTTTCTAGCTTCAAGTTTCCTTCCCCAGATTGCGATGAGGACAGAGATATCTTGCTTGAGCAAAAAGTATTAAAGGAAGTGGGGAGTTTTACAAGAATAGATAACATTTTCCAAAAGTGAACTGGCATTCATACACAGAAAAAAGGACTAGGGACCGCTGTAGGCATTAACAGGTGAGACTCAGATGACTCACGTTCTCTGAGGACGCAACCGCTGATCGCTGTGAGGGATCAAAGCCACCAACTCATTAACTTGCTCTAGAAAAGAAACAATTGACAATTTTGGCAAAATAAATCCCACATGTGACAGTACTTTCCTTCACATACACAGTAGCCTGTCACAACATATACTCGTCCGGGATTATTTGTTTCTAAGATACTAGTTTCACATTTTGGGTCTCATGAATAAGAAACAAACAAATCTGTAGAGAGTACTACAAATTACAAAACATCTATCAGTGCTGCCAGAACACTGACGTGGAAGCTGAGAAATCTAGGATCTCAGGACTTCCCTGATGGTTCAGTGACTGAGACTGGGTGCTCCTAATGCAGGGGGCCCGGGTTCTATCCCTGGTCACGGAATGAGATTCCACATGCCACAATTAAAGATGCTGCATACCGCAACAGACCTAGAGCAACCAAATAAATAAATATTAAGAAGAAGAAATCTTGGATCTTGTTCTGGCTTTACTGCATGGCCTTGAGCTGAGGCACAATTATGAACTGCTAAGTCATTACCTCTCTAGGCCATTGTGTCCTCATCTATAACATGAAGGCTTTGGATTGAATGATTTCTAAGATTTTTACCAACTTTAAACCTCTGTGACCCTCCATCTACACTGCTAAGACTTTTTGAGAGCCAACTTAGTGATGGAAAATTCTATACCCAATCCAGACTCCAGTCCTGGGCATGTTTTTCTCCCCTGACTTGATTTTTTTTTTTTTTTTCAGACCTTAGGTTGTTAATGATTCACTATCTGCTTCCTTGAATAGAAGTTTCCAAGATGGTGTCTGCTCCTCCTCCCCCACAAAGCCATGCCAGGCCCTGAGTGCCAGCAATGGAGAAATGTACCTGTCAAACTGCAGAATGTAGAGCAAACCATGTGTTCCAAACCAAAGAAGCAACAGAGGAGTGAAAGTGAAGAAAAGTAAGGCTTTCAAATATCGGGAAACCCAGAGAAGCTGTGGAGCCTGTCCAAGTTTATGAATTCAGCTGAGCTGACTCCTACTCAGGGCATGGTCTATGACCGTGGTACTGCTGCAAGGAAAATTTTTCAGCTCAGTCTGGGAGAGAGAAGTCTTGTGGGTATCCTGGCATTCTCCTTGTGGAATCATCTTTTACCATGATCACCAAAGACTCTCACCTGGAATGTAGCCTGTCCCCTGACACGTGAGACAGGTAATGCTATCTCGCCCGGTGAACTCCACATAGGGGAACTGAGCAATGGCCTCCTGCTGCTCCCGTTCGGCCAGAGAATCCTCAGTGTCATCTGCTTTCCTTCGCTTGCTGAAAGGCCAGTGAGCATAGATGGAATGAGGGGACCCCATGGCCAGGATGTGCGCCTTGTGTCATGTCCTAGGATGCAAAGAGGCAAGTGAGTGCGTGTTACTGGCTGTGCATCTCTATGCGAAAAGTGTAACACAAAATTGACCAATTTCCCCTCCCGAGTGTGATCCCAAACACCTGAACAATTTCTACCAGGCCCCTCATTTTTTACTAGGGCTCCCTAACCCACCACCGACTCTCGACACATAGCCTGGGGGAACAGGGGCCGCGTTCGCCAATCTGCTCAGCTCCTCATCGCCCCAGGAATCGGGGCACCCCAGCTCCCACGAGGTCCAGGCTCACCCCTTCTGTCTGCTACTTGCAAACTCTGTGTCTTCCTGGAAAAAAACCTTCCCGGACAAACAACAAGCCCCAAATTAATAACAGGCCTCAGAGAGTCCCCACTCTCTTCCGCCCCCAGCTCCAGGAGGCGGGCTCAGTTCACGCCCCTTGTCAAAAAGCGCGCTCCGAGCCCACCAGAGTCGCCCAGGCGGGAGCGAACGCTGAAGACCCCAGACCTGCAGGACACGAACTCCCGGCAGCTCCTCTCCGGGCCGGACCCTCCTGCCACCCGCCGGATGCCGCGGGTTTACCTGCCTCCCGAGTGTTTAGAGCTGCACGCACCCCGTGCGCATGCACTCGGCGCGCGAGCCGGCTCGGGGACGCCGGCGTGAGCGCGCGCGTGCGCTCTTCGAAGCCCAGCCGGCGGCGCCGATAGAGGGCAGCAGAGAGAGGAGAGCGGGGCCGGGTGGCGAGCAGCTCCTCTCGGGGATTGAAGCTGGTGGCCCAGTGGAGATGCTTCGCGGTCCCCCAGAAACACCGGGAGAGGTTCCAGTGAAGGACCGAGTGAAGGCTCCAGATGAAGAGGGAGGCGGAAAGCGCTGGCAGCCAAAACCGTTCTCAGCTAATCTTTGAGCACAGAAGTTGTGAAGACGCTGAGGGTAGAAAGATGTATCGCAGAGCCTGCCCTCAACCTGCTTCAGGGCGTCCCCAGCCCGAGAGAGCGAGAGAGCGAGCGAGCGAGCGAGCGAGCGAGAGAGAGAGAGAGAGAGAGAGAGAGAGAGAGACACCATGCACGTGAGGGGTTAGAGGACACGTTTTAAAGGGCGAGTTTCTCTGTAGAGACTGCCTGGTTGAGCTTCACCTGCTGCAGAAGCAGACATTGCTGCTGCTGCTGCTGCTAAGTCGCTTCAGTCGTGTCTGACTCTGTGCAGCCCCATGGACAGCAGCCCACCAGGCTCCTCTGTCCACAGGATTCTCCAGGCAAGAATACTGGAGTGGGTTGCCATTTCCTTCTCCGAAGCAGACGTTAACCACATGAAATTATAAAGATGATGCTGGGGAGGGGAGAGATTCTGAACTGGGGGCGTGCCCTGCAATGGGGAGTGAAAATAGCGACCTGTGAGCTCCGTGCCACCTCCATCCCTCTCTGCTCCTTCCCTTGTGAGGAAGGCTGATGTCCCTGCTGCTCTCTAGCCACCTGCCAACTACTGGCCACAGTCAGCCCACAGAACATTTAGAGTGAAAAATGTTATAGAAAAAAACTGAGTGATACACTGAAGACAGTAAGGCAGACTTTACTCAAGGGGGGATACAGTGATGGGTGTGGGACGGCTGCTACCGATGGGGTCTTGCCATGGGGCAGAGAGACTGGGCTCAAGTCTGAATACACCAGGGCAAGTGGGAACTTAGAGCCAAGGGGCAGGTGAGGGTCAGTGGATGGAAAATTGCCAAGAGACGGCATCATGGGTAAGGGGAATCCTGGCTAAACAGACCTAACAGGATTCTTGCTACAGACAGGCCATGGTGATTAGACTTCACCTGGGGGTTGGAGGAGGACAAGGAATCCAATCAGATATGGAAGGTGATCAGATTTTGAGGGCCTGGGATTCCTGCTAAGGTGATTTATCAGGTGGTGTTGGTTTAGTTGCTAAGTCATGTCTTACTCTTGCAACCCCATGAACTGTATGTAGCCTGCCAGGCTCCTCTGTCCATGGGATTCTCCAGGCAAGAATACTGGAGTGGGTTGCCATTTCCTTCTCCAGAGGGTCTTCCTGACCCGGGAATTGAACCCATGTCTTCTGCATTTCAGGCAGATTCTTTACCGACTGAGCTATGAGGGAAGCCTTGATTTATCAGGGTTCATGCCAAAACTGGATTTTATAATAAGTGCACAGATGGACCTGGGAAAAGGTTCAGGAACCTGACTAAAGTTTGGTCAAGCAAAGATTATTTGTCAGAAGCAGCAAGCAGCCACTGCTCCTCTCTTTCCATTTCTGGCCCACACCTTCTCCTTCATGAAATTGTTCTTCACTTCTCTCCATCCAACCTCTATACCAGTTTACATTCCTTGTTTACACAATTCTGATTTCGTTGGAGGCAGCAGTATGTTCAGTGAAAAATACATTTCCCCACCTTACTTGCCATATGACACAGTTTGAGTCAATGAGATGTGTGGGACTTCCAGGAAAGCTCCTTATAAGGGATGAAGATTCAACTGGTGCTTTGACCTTATTCTTCCTGTTTGGAGTTTGGACTTGATGTTGGAGATGGGGCAGCCATCTTCTGCCCATGAGGCAAGAAGTGTGTGCTAAGGAAGGCTGCATAGAGGGATTAAAAGAGCTCAGGTGGCCATGACATTTGGAACCACAGTCAGGCCCTGGACTACCTTCCTTCTGACTTTTCATTACATGAGAAAAATAACCACCCCCACCTCTACAAATTGTGGGGTGTGTGTGTGTGTGTGCAAACACGTGTCTTTCCCATAGCAGGGTGCAGTCTTAAAAGATACAGACATGGAGCTAGTTGAGGGGAAAGCCCAGATTTTCACAAGGCAGTCTGACTGCTTTACCCAAACACCATGTAGGCCATCCTTAGGTTTCTATTATCTTCTAACATCTGCCTTGAGGGCACAGGCCTTTAGAGAGAGGGAGGCCCCTTGCCTGTCTGAGGCCCATCTTCCAAGTTCAGTGTTCCCATCTGAAGATCCCCTTTTCACAGGGAATTCACCTGGGGCATCTGGGGAATGAGCCCATCCTTCAGTCACATGGAGCCTCACTTCGTGGATTCTGCTGGAAGCCTGCCAAGGGCAAGGGGCAGTGAGCCTAATGTCCGCACTAGGGCTGGACACTGCAGAGGGAATCCAGGCTGTCCCAGGAGCAGGGAGGGTGAGGAAGGCAGCAGAAGAGAAGGCCGGGGGAAGATGGAGGGCTGTGGATGCTTCGTAAAGGAAGGGAGCCAGGCTAAGGGCTTGAGCCCATGTGAGGAAAACCAGTGCTCAGGTTGCCGGGGAATATAAAGGGGGCCTGGGGGTTTAACCAGCAGAACCCCTGAGGCTTTTTGACAGCCTGTTGTCTGGGACAGACTGTATCCTCCTATTACTCCTTGTCTCCCCAGCACCCAGCTCGAAGCCCAAGCCCGGTGTGTGGTAGCCCTCAATAAATGCCTGCAGAATGACCTCACCTGGAGCCTGGCCTGCACTGCCTCGGGGAATAGTTTCAGCATCCGCCATGGCCATCCGGGTGGCTGTTTTAATTGGGCAGCACATTCCTCAGGAGCCACCCATCACTTCTCACCTGTGCCTGGCTTCCAAGGTTATCTGAGCATCTGGTTATGAGCAGTGAGGTTACTGCAGACGTGAGCTCACCGGGGCTCTTGGTGGTGGGGGCGGGAGGGAACGGAGTGGGACCAACCAGAGCTCCCTGCCCTCCCAGCCCCTCGTTTCTCCATGTGCCTCATGTACCCCTGACCCCACATGCTGAGGGGAGTCATGCATCGAGGAGCTGCGGTCCTGAAAGGCCCTGCACATGGGGAAAGTGAGCGCTTACAGTTGGCAGAGTCCTTCATGGTCTGCATCCTGTGCCCTTTGTCAGTTCACACAGTGGAGACAACTTACTGTTGTTTTTTAGTCACTAAGTCCTGTTGGACTCTGTGACCCCGTAGACTGTAGCCCACCAGGCTTCTCTGTCCATGGGATTTCCCAGGCAAGAATACTGGAGTGGGTTGCCATTTCCTTCTCCAGGGGATCTTCCTGACCTAGGGATGGAACACGCGTCTCCTGCTTTGCAGGTGGGTTCTTTACCACTGAACCACCAGGAAAGTCCAGAGAAAACTTGCTTGATATTAAAAATACAGACTGGAACCAAATATGTCATTCCCTTGTTCTGTATACTTTCCAAAGAGATTTGGAGCCTCACTAGAGTGTAGACAGGCTGCTGTAGACCCTGTGGCCACGGGCAGATTTAAGGGACACACAACCCTTTTAAGTTAAGGATTCTCTGTTTATTCTAGCTCAGAGATTTCAGTGCACAGAGCACTGGCGCATGTGTTGTTCAGACAAAGAGGAATAATAGGCCCCACCCTCTAAGATTTCAGGTCCAGTTCTAGTGAAATGGAGCAGGAAAGTATGGTCTTTGCCCTGCCCTCCATATCCTCTGCCTGCCTATTGCCTGTGGAAAACTTTAGTCAAAAATAAGTTTAATCAGAGAAGTGAGAAATGCTGAAACAAAGGAAAACAATCAAAGGAATCTAAATATTAATAATGCAGTCTTTAAGCATAGTCAAGGACCTTCAGGGTTAGGGTTAGGGTTAGTGTTCGGGGCTATAGATAGTATTCTGAGCCATATCCTGTGAGCTGTCTTAGGTATACCAAAACCCCAGGTGGAGAAGATGACTACATTATGACCAGACCGTACCCAGGACATGAGCTGCCTTAATTCTAAGAACTGACCGCAAAGAAATGGGAACAAACTGACCCTGGAGCTGAAGATTAACTGTACCTAAAACGATCCAGATGATGCTGGTCAGACCACTGATGACCAATTTAAAGAGGACTGTTAGAGATGCCTGTGCTGTTTCTACACAAGCCCCCACCCCACCCTGTCTTTAAAAGCTCTCACCCCCTGCTTGTTGGGGACAGTGGCAGGGGGGTAGTTGGCCTTTGGACAGACGTCTGCAAACTTCCCCTTCCCCAACCCCCAGTTGCCCCCATCTGAAATAAAGCAAACTTTCCTTTCCACCAACCTGGCCTGTTTATTGGCTCTTGAGCTATGAGCAGTGGGACCCACCACACAAATTCCTTTCGGGAACGCTAGGAAGGTCTAGAGGGAGAAGGGGGAGAAGATGGGCCCTTGCCTTTAAGAACCTGTTCTAGCAGTGGAGCATTTTGCCACTTACCTGGCACTTCCTTAGATGGGAAGCTGCTGTTATTTCCATTTTAGGCTGAGTCCGGGAGGCTGATTGCCCTAGCCATAGTGGTAAGGTCAGAATTGGATCAAGAGTGTTCTGCTCTCAAGCCCCACTTCTTTTAACTTTACTGTGCTATATCTTATGAAGACTGGTCACAGGAAGTAGGTTTACAGGCCTGTTCTAGGAAGAGCAGTGACCCAGAGGGTGCTTATATGCAAAAGGGATCTGGGTGGGGGGTTTCCCTGTGTGCTGAGCCCACAGCAACCAGAGGCAGGGAGCTCTGCCTAGAGAGGTCCCCTTGATGGGAAGACAGCGGGGATTCAGGGGCTTGTGTGTTTAAGGAACTGATAATCTACCACACACCACTGAAGGTCAGCGAGGCCAGGGTCTTCTCAGCTCCATCCCCAAGGGCACAGAGGAGGCTGACTGTGGGGCCCACACTCATCTGGCTCAGGGGTGCACTCTGGGACAGCCAATAGTGTTCGGAGTGCTGTCTGCATGGGAGGTATGAGCCTTCCTCCAGAAACCCAGGTGGACAAAAGATATCCTATTGAGGCGGGAGATAAATGGGCTCAGGGTAAGCATTTACAACTAGTCTCCTGTTTACATATCCTGAGGAAGGAGCAGGTGGGCTCAGGGCTAGACGTTTACAATCAGCCTCCTGTTTGCACTTAGAAATAAGCAACAAAAACAGGTTGAATAGCCAGGCTTTGTCTCCTGAGGACACT